GCCCGAACCAGTAACGTCTTGTGTAAACAATGCGCGCGCCATTTAGCCAATGATTGACACTGTGTGATGTAAGGTCACCTGTTGAAGGCAGTCATCTTTTTACAGAGATATTAGAAGCCTTTCGTAATCCTCTGTGAAACAGAATGGCTTTCTATATGTACCAGGTACCTAATCACTCGGCAAACCTCAACAGATTCCAGTACCCTACATCTAATCTCGACTGTATGACCAAGTACGCCATTAGAACTACTTTCAAGTTCCCGGATTACAATGGCATTGTCCATGACGACTAATGACGTCATTGATGACGACGTATTTGAAGAATGTTTTATCATACAAAATTTTCAAAGTTTGAAGCTGTTTTTCTTTCAAGTCTATCCGATTTTCTTTAGACAAGGACAAATTTGCACTGAAAATTCTACACACTCTTCGAACGACGCAATTTTGAGAACTTCTTTCTAAACGCGGGCAAGTTTCCCTTTTAAGTAAACCGGTGCCGCATCGCAAATGTATAGGCGTAGGTGCATATCACTTACTGTCATACAGTCGAGGCGAGATGTAGGGTTCCGGAATCTGCCGAGGTTTGCCGAGTGGTACCTAGTATGACGTCGTCGCAGTCATTTTGAAATTGTGACGTATAAAATTCGAGAGACTTTGAGTCCGAGTTGAGTCCCAAGTCGCTGACTTTATTACTGAGTCGATTTCCCATGTCTTCACAAAGCTCAAATTCCGTTAAAGTCGTCAACTGCCCTTATCACCCAAGGCATATACTCGCTTTACAAGTCATAGTTTCAAATTGCCTAGAGAATTGTTAGATTAGCCAAATATAAAAATCTGAATAGTAATTGTGAGTCAGAGTTTCACATCTAGGTCATTCTGGTACTAACATATGGTTCACTTTTATTTCAATAGTTCGTTTGCACGTAGAGGTCTATAGCTGTGGGAGGAAAGCGGGAGCTCCGGAGAAAACCGACGTACAATTTTGTACTGGAAACTACGCCGCACTTGATTCAATGAAATATCTTAGACCATTCGAACACCCACCAGCATACCATCATATCAACTAACATCTCACTGACAGTACGCAATCAATTCCGTTCTACTTTATGTCCGTCTATAGAGTCCTAGAAAAGGTTACAAAACTAATCTCCACGACAATATATGTTTACCTAGTAAATATATTACAGAGTTCCATACATTCATTGTCTTCTAGTAGACAATTAAATACTACCCATTGTTTCACGAATGGTTTTACAGATTGAGTAAAGAATTCATTGCCTCGGATATACACTCTACATTCTGTGTTTATTAGCACAAAGATTGCGTGTTCGTTGGTATTAAAACCAAGAGGCATTTAATAGATACGCAAAACCATTTCTCAACGAATTAATCAAACGTATAGATGACCCGATGTATTACAGCACTTGGGGCCAGAGGTTTCTTAGAATATTAAAAGAGAAAGAATTTGTGATTTGATATTTATTGTCACGTTCTTTCATTCAGGTGTTATGAACAGATTTAATTGGTAATTGCGCTCCAGAGAACCGGAGCAATTAACAGTATTTTATGACATGTTTAAACACGCGATGACAGCTATAAGTTTCCCTGATATTTTAAAGACGTTAATAATAAAAATTAAAAAAAGGAATGAACATTATTTAACAACAAATAAAACATTCTTTCTCAATCATAAAATGTTCACTTAATTATACTGTTATAAAACTTGATCATCATTCTAGAATTTTGAAACATCTGGTGACGAAAGTAGTTTTATATTGTAAAACAAACAAGGGCAATAATATTAGTATACTGGTTACACCAAATCTCAAGTACCCGAGGAGATAACTCTCACTACACTTGCCTGAATTTTGGACACAGCTCACCAAATATTTCTAATGTAGGGCAAAAGTTTCTGAAAGCGTCAAGTTTTCCTTGGTAGCCGCATCACAATTGTATGTGTGTAGCTACTTATCACTTACCGTCATACAGCCGAGGCTAGATATTAGGTACCGGAGTCAGCCGAGGTTTGCCGAGTGATAATTAGCCAACTCACCCGAGTATGTTGGACTATTCAATCACATCCGAAACTTACGTTGTCTGTCTACAGGATGAGTCAATCAGTAAATCCCCCCCCCCCTTTTTTTTACAAATAACCCCTGTTAAATTATGTATACATGGTGGAGGTGCAGGGCGCGGTGGCTCAGTGAGTAAGGCGTTGGCTCGCTAACCTGGAGGTCCCGTGTTCGATCCCGGTGTTGGCCGAGAAAGTTTATCGGGGTTTTCCGCCGTGGTTCCCCTTTGTCAGTGATGCAGGACAGAGAGTCTGGCTAGGAACAACGTATACCGAGGTCCCGTGAATACACAAAAGAAACCCTTGGCAGTTGCAATTCAATATAAGAGTAGGCCGTAGCGCCGCTGTCGGGGCAAAATTTCCCTTATAGTACACTATATGGGCGTATGCCCGTCTTTATTAGCGCAGTCGGAGCAGAACAGTAGGACTTTACAGTTCGCGACTAATTTAGTTAAATGTAGCTAGTAGCCCCGTGGCTCAGTGACTTTGGCGCTATCTTACTAATCCGGTCACCGTTTCCACTTGCCAGCTGCCTAGTCGTTCGGATGGGACGAAAAACGGAGATAAAGTATGTCACTGGCAGCACATTAAAGACCCCCCGAGAGAGATAAAAAAAATATGACTTGGCAAAATTTCCTTCTTAGTACTCTCCATGGCGTTTGCCAGTCTTCATTGGTGCAGAAAAGTCAAACAAGAAGCCTTTATTAAAGATGCATTATGGGAGATTAGATAAAGAGCTGGCAGTTCTCACTATAATAGTTATAAACTAGATAATGTAAAGGGTATTTGCTGGAAAGTTCAGTCAAATTGATCCACTCTGAACCGAGATTTTAGCGATAGAATTTTCGGTCTAGCCTCGATCATCATTACTAAAGTCGGAACGATAAAAAACATAGTCGAACAGGAAATCGGAACCTAATCCAATAAACATCGCAGGCTAGCGATGACATCACGATTTGATTATGGTCTTGTTTTCTTAATAAATGTCTAAAGAAAGAACTACAATAGGCAAATTTAGCTCTTGCATAATGTATGTTTAATGCTTTAAATCGCATTTCAATTCATTTCATTTCAACCAGTAGATGTCTTCGTATTAGGAATTTTGGAATTAAAACAGCGCCAAATTATCTTACAAATTGGGAGTCGAGGTGACTCAGTGACTAAGGCGCTGGTCCTCTAACTAGGAGGTCCTGGGCTCGATCCCGTTATTCCTCGGGATTTATCAGTGTCTTGATAAAACGAAAAACAGCGGACCGTTCCGTGTATACGTCGGCGTACACGTAAAAAGATACTTTGACAGTTGGAATTCGATGATAAATTGTCCTTATAGCCCACAGTAGGGCGTATGCAAAAATGAAATGAAATGAAATGGGGTTTAACGTCCTACTGTCCTGCTCCGAACTGGGCTAATTAAGACGGGCATACGCCATACAGTGTGCTATGAGGGACATTTTGCCCGGACAGCGGCACTACGGCCTACTCTTATATCGACTTCCAACTGCTAAGGGATCTTTTACGTGCACGCCAATGTGTACACGGGACCTCGGTTTTTCCTACCATCCGAACGACTAGACAACCGTCTTTGTCAGGCCGTCTGGCGTATGCCCGTCTTCATTAGACCGACTGGCACAGAATGGAAAGTAAGATGTTAAGATTTAGATAAAGAGCTGGTCGTTATCGCTATAATATTTCAAAAATAGATAATGCAAAATGAATATTTTCAAAATTTCATTCAAATGATTTTATTTTGAGCGAAGTTATCAATGGTTGTAGTTTTGATAAGATGTGTGCGTGCATTGATCGTAGCAACCGTACTGGTCATTCGAGTCTTAGCCGCGCTTTTCCATTTTTAAATTAAATCATTAAATGGCCGAAACATTCTAATCTACTCAAAATCGGAGACATCCGATGGCATCGAGAGTTGATTTTTGTCTTGTCATGTTAATTAATGTCTAATTAATAATGTATATAAAATTTAAGGTCCAAAGAAAGACCTGCAATAGGCAGATTAAGCTCTTGCATAATTCCTGTTTAATTTCACGTTACAAACGATATATTCTACTGACAAACTAAAATTATTTTGAAACTCGACTTTCTAAAACTGGTAATTACCGTAAACACGAGACGAATCCAACATGGAATTAATCTCAGTTTTCAAGTCTAAGTTTTATTTTTATGTTATTAGCGTCACCATTTGGCATTCATAGAAACCGTTTAGATCTTAGACTTTCCATGCATCATGACTTCTAATGGTTGACGGGGGTTATCATTACCGCAGTTACCCGCCTTAATAGATGTTTAGAATTATTCGTGAAATTTCATAGCTATTCCTAATTACAGCCTGGGCCATGCGTGTAAAAACCTATCATGGATCGATTACTGCTCGGGATGGATAGTAACAAGCTTTGGTAATAGGTTTGTTTTTTTTTTCTCAGCAAACATACGTATAAAATCGCGTGAACGTGAAAAAGAAAATAAATAAAACTTGTTGTATTTGGAAATAATATGAAATTACCTCCGCCCCCATCAGTGTACAGAACATTACGGGGGAATACATTGCTGACAATATTATGGATCTTTCCAAAAGAGCAAGGAACGCTGCCTTTCAGCCGATAGTCCCCTTCGCGAAAAAGGGTGGGTTGGGGGTTGGTCGGGAAGAGGGGGCGAGTGGCCTGACACGGGCTTTTTAAATTATAGTCTGCATTGAGTCAGGTGCATGGTTTCGAACCCCCGGGTTGTACGTGACAATGAGTAGGGTTTCCCCAAACTGCTAAAGACCTCTACGCGCAAGTGAATTATTCAAATAAAATTGTACCATATGTTAGACTCGAAATGATCTGATTTGTATCAAGTGGACGTTAAACTCCATATCTCGCTCTCTCCGTCTCTCTTTCAATTCGCTACTTTGACATCTGGAACGAAACTCACGTTTCTAGATTCCCATATTTATTATAAATGCATAATCAATACAATATTTGAAGAAATAAACATATTGTTTCTGTGATATTTATAGCAATATTCGATTTATTAGCACTAAACAACATGTCAATGCTTAATGATATAAAAGGCCTTTAATTTTATAGACCGTAAAACTCCTGCCATTAAATCAAATATATGGTTGAATCACTGCAACATGAAACAATAGCGGAAATAATCCCTGTTGGCTTTATTGTATAATAGGAAATATTGCAATTTAGATATGTTTTTGCTTCTGAATTATAACTATATAAAGACAATAATTCGATGTTCGGGATACGGATAATGCTTTCTTAAAAAGTATAAGCCGATTAACCCACGCTTGCTTCTGGAACGAAATTTAACATATTTCAAAATTCAAATGTGGTACACTTCTCAGTATAAGTAAAACAAATCTGATTAAAATAGAGATCTATATTTCGTTTCGTTTTTTTTTTAATACTTTCGATGACCTACACTACATGAAGATATGACCAGTTGTACTGGGAGGTCGCGTCAGGGGTCATACGAGCGGCTTTTCACCCTATGACGCCAGACATTGATTAATCAATCAGCGTTGACGTTTCTAGGGGTTTACTCACAGTTCTGTGGCCAATTCCTCACATCAACTAGAACACCTGTTATATAACAACTCTTCCAGATCCTAGTGTTGTGGAGACAAGCAAACACGAAATTTTGAACTATAAAAAACGAAACGAAATAGGATCTGTGTTTTAATCAGATTAAAGTAAAACAACGTAAAATTAAAAAAAAGGTTATGGTGAGCGAATATTTTATAACTCAATTATCGTACAATTCCCGGTAAAAGTAAAACAGAATAAAATAAAAAAAGTTCACGATGAGCACTTTTTAAAATGAGTTCTTCTAATAACAGGTGATGGCCTGGAAATAACAAGCCGTAATAATATTTCGTTTCTGTTTTATGTTTTTCAGATCGTCTTCCTTGGCACCAAAATCTTTTGCTGTTTCGTAAGCCACGTCCATAAGCCGATGTAACAATCGATTGGCTAATTCCAATTCACGTGACAATTCCTGAAAATAGAAAGTTGTGGAAATATTTAATAAAGCAGACTAAAATTTAATTAATCTGTGGTTTAACGTCGACTCGACACAAACTAGGTAATTTCGGGACTAACGTATGGTTGAATTTTATTTCAATAATTTACTTGCGCGCAGGGGTCTTTAGCAGTGGGAGGAAACCAGAGAACCCGGAGGGAACCCACGAGGTTGAACAGGCGACCCTTCTCCATGTCACGTACAACCAGGGAATCGAAACCACGCCAGTTGACTCAATGACAGGCCTTAATGTACAGCGCGCACGTGCTAACCATTCGGTCATCCATCCGCACCGAATTTACAATTAGGACTTGGATTCAATCGTACTGCCTAAACTTGTTTGTGACGCTGACTTTATTATATCATCTTACATTTGTTTCAGTCAAGCACGCCAAGCAAACTGGTTCACCTTTAATAATAAACTAGGTCACCGGATGTGACGCTTTAAAAGTAACTGTCATGTCTAATTTGTCTAAAGCTGTTTTTCTTTCGTTAGCCGCCGATTCACCTTTAGAATACACCACCTATCCGGACATACTGTCACTGGATATTATGTCTCTGATTCCCGCCAAAATGCATAACAGTTTAATTAAACTAGATCTACAGATGGAGTTTAATGGGTTGCTATAGATAAGAAAGTGAAATATTGAACATGTCACCCAAGACTGGAATCATTCTCGTTCATTTGGAAGCGATGGTTTGTCGTGTACCTTGTTGACATACTAAACTTAGGCTGTCTGTCTACAGTTAGCTCCGCTTGAGAAGAGACACTAAGCTAGTTGACCGACATTTTAAGTCCTAAATCGACGATTTATGTCGAAAACACTATAAGTTTTTATTCTCCTTCTATTTAATAGAATTGAATAGGTTTATTTAGTCTGTGTGTGAATGCCAGATGTGAAATGGAGAAGAACCGGATTACAAAGCAATATACTATTTTTTAGATATGGCGGTCATTCAGGACAGAGATTAATTCTCGAAGTATGGAGTACATGGATCTCTGTGTGCCGAATGCCTTGTTGGCCGTCACATAATGTTGTATTTGAGTTATTCCTCATATTACCCTATTTTAATACTTCTAGAACAAATACAAAAAAACTCTTCAGATCAAGTATATTATATTGACTATAGCCCAAGGAAGTCTGTATAACAAAAAATGAACCATCTACCTAGAGGCGAATTACCGAGATAGTCTGTTGGTTTCTGGTTTAAAGAGTTCATTCATTACGCAAATCTTAATCTGTCTGTCTGTCTATTTAGTGTGATTTATTTACCGATGTTTTGGATTCGCGCACTGACCTGATAAAATATTTTCTAGTTAATTTTCTTTACAAAAACAATTGTAAGCAATTTGAACTGGACTGGCAACGAACAGTGTCTAGTCGTTTGGATAATACGAAAAACCGAGGCCTGATGTACACGTTGTAGTGCACGTAAAAGAACCCATGACAGTTGGAATTCGAAATAAGCGCCGCTGTTCTAGGAAAATCCCCACACCTCCGCCATAGCACCATTGATGGTGTATACCCGCCTTCATAATCCCAGTTGGCGCATTAATGTAGAACGTTAAACACCATTTCATGTACAGATTTTCCGGCGTGGTTTCCCCTTGTCAGTGATGCAGGACGGAGGGCCTGACAAGGACAGCTGTCTAGTCATTCGGATGAGACGAAAAACCGAGGTCCAGTGTACACATTGGCGTGCACGTAAAAGATCCCTTGACAGTTGGAATTCGATATAAGAGTAGGCCGTTGTGCCGCTGTCCGGGCAAAATTTCCCTCATAGCACACTGTATGGCGTATGCCCGTCTTCATTAGCCCAGTTCGGAGCAAAACAGTAGGACGTTAAACCCCATTTCATTTCATTTCCATTTCATGTAATTGAAAGGCGGCATAAGTGGCATAAACAGGTCACAATTCTACGGAAATACAATTACTGCTTATTACTGAGCGACGTTTCGACTAGGCTTCTCTAGTCATTATCAAGTAATGATAAAATATGAAAATATGACAAGATAATATATACATGTACACAGCAATCATTGGTTAATGATGACCAACCAGATATACCTTTTAATTACATGTACCTAAAGAAGCAGTAATAAGCAGTAATTGTATTCCAAAGAATTGTGTCCTGTTTATTCTAGTTCAATTACTAAATGCCATTGTAACAATTTACCAACGTAGCGTTTTGCTCTTTAATAAGTTAAACATACATTATGGGAGATTCGATAACGAGTTGACAGTTCTCACTATAATAGTTAAAAACTAGATAATGCATCTTTAACACAAAACTGGTCGGGGATTGATTAAAACAATTTAAAGATGCATTATGGGAGATTAGATAAAAAGATGGCTGTTCTCACTATAATAGTTAAAAACCAGATAATGTAAAGGCAATTTGCTGAAAATTTCATTCAAATTGATCCACTATGAACCGAGATCTAAGCGATTGAAATTTCCGCCTAGCCTCGATTATCATTACTAAAGTCAGTACGATAAACAGTATAGTCTTGATTATCCATTTAATCGTTAAATCGTGAAGCAAAGTTATGCAGTAAATCGGCTCGTAATCCACTAAACATCGCAGGCTAGCGATGCCATCTAGAGTTGATTATGGTCTGGATAGGTTAATTAATGTCTAATTAATATCAGGCCAGGCCCAAAGAAAGAACTGCAATAGACAGATTTAGCTCTTGCATAATGTGTGTTAAATGACTTCGAAGAATGGTAATATATTGTGATAAAGCAACGCCAATTTGATTTCATTTTCTTTAAGAATACCTGTAAAAATTGCCCGTCTAATTTTTTCGGGAAAAAGACTTCTTTAAAAACAAAAAGTACTTGCTTTAGTTCCATGTATTTAAGTTTTGGTTCAAGTGGCTATTCATTTATCAAGAAATGAAATCCAATTGATGTGGCCGAAATATCGGATAGCGGTTCTACTGATGACATTACTCAGTGCAGTACAAGGATAGCTGCAATGGGTCTTGTCATCAGTAGAACTGTACTGGGTCTTGTCATCAGTAGAAATGTGCTGGGTCTTGTCATCAGTAGAAATGAAATGGGGTTTAACGTCCTACTGTTCTGCACCGACTGGGATAATGAAGACGGGCATAGGCCCCTGCGCCATACAGTGGCGGCACTATGGCTTACTTTTATATCAAATTCCAACTGCCAAGGGATCTTTTAGATGCATGCTAATGTATACACGGGACCTCGGTTTTTCGCCTAGCTAGTCCCCCTGTCCTGCATCACTCACAAGGGGAAACCACGCCGGGAAATCCCTATGAACTCCTCGGCAAACATCAGGTTCGAAACACATGCCGAAACGTCGTGGTACGTGTATAACAAACACATGATTGACATAATGATAATGTTTTTGTGTCTGTGTGTTCGTGTGTAATTTCCTTCTTGCATGTCTAATTCCTTATTTATTATAATCATGCATAATATCCCCCAAGTTCTATAGTGTCAGACATATCCTAGTACTAGGGCTTCACTCAATCAGCAGGATGATGTTGATTTATTACAGTTCGTCTGGTAGCAATGGTGCTTCAAAGAAATGGAAACCACTTAGGGCGACATTGATGTCTCAATTTATACGCTGGCAAAACAAATTCGCGATTATGTCAATTACTTGGGTATAATGAAAACAATTACAACCTCGGCTCTGCAATAAGAAGTCAATACAATGTTTGGGTTAAGGAGGTGGCAATGATAATTAAAGCTCCTTCACTGGGAATTTTGGGGGAGGTAAAGTGTCGGGTCGGAACGTTCCGAATTGACGGAATTGTAATAAAGCGGTACCAGAGTTCTGCCGGTCCTGAAAATAGATGCAGTGTGAGCGGAATCGTGACGTAATCAGGTGATTGGTTGAGACAGTATGCGCATGTTTGGCCGTCCAGAATTCCTGTGGTTGCTCGATTGACACATTTTAAGGGATTTGAAGATTCCCACGACGTTCAATCGAGTAATATACTCATAGAAGTAAAATACACCGCGAAAAACTGTTTAGATACGAGAACGTTTCAAAAAAAAAAAAAAAAAAAAAATGAGTGGGGTCGCGAGCGGGTGTTCTTAGAAGGGCGAGTCACCAATCGCCGGGTGCACAGTGGCAAGGGCCCATAAATAATATTAATCAAATATGTCAAATGTTTTCCTTTTTCATTCTGTAACGCAAAAGATAGATAAATTAAAATTGGATTATATTGTCGAAGGCTCTTCTGCTTTAAAGATATCCCCACACAAATAATTAAAAATAAATACGTTCTGGGACCTGTTTCACGAAATTTTAACTAAGATAAAATCCAAATTTTAGTAATTTGATTGGATAATATTAAGTTGATTTTAGTGCTTAGCCAATCAAAATTGAAATATCTACTAAAATTTGGATTTTATCTTTAGTTAAGATTTCGAGAAACAGGGCTCAGATTAACTTATATCGTATCCGGGCGGGAGCGGTAATTATCAAGTCTGGTTCTCACTTGTCAAAGATGGCGGCTGCAGAACTGACAACAAAAAATGTGTAGCTAACAAAGAATGTATTCATGACGTATGTTCGTCATCATTAGCCCAGTTGGTGTAAAAAAGTAGGACGTTTAAAAACCCAATTTCATTTCCTGTTTTGGTGTATGCCCGTTTTTATTATCCCAGTCGGTCCAGAAAGTTAGGACGTTAAAAACCATTAATTTTATTTAAGTATTCCAAAGTCCGCTGTCCGGGCAAAATCCCCCCATAGTAGGCTACACTGTATGGCGTATACCCTTCTTCATTATCCCAGTCGGTGCACTGGTGCAGCGTGATTCCGCCTTGCCAGTGATGCAGGACGGGGGGCCTGCCAAGGACAGCTGTCTAGTCGTTCGGAGGGATCGAAAAACCGAGGTCTTGTGTACACATTGGCGTGCACGTAAAAGATCCCTTGACAGTTGGAATTCGATATAAGAGTAGGCCGTAGTGCCGCTGTCCGGGCACAATTTCCCTCATAGCACACAGTATGGCGTATGCCGTCTTCATTAGCCAAGTTCGGAGCAGAACAGTAGGCCTTTAGACTCCATTTCACTTCATGTCGACTATTCCAAGGGCGTGGGGTGTTGATAACTGGGTAATCTTGTCAATCAAAGTTATTTCGATTTAACAGACCTACTTTCTGAAATCTTTCATATATGTCGACAATCACCTACCAAATTGGAAACGTGATCCCAAAAAGATAAGCTTGAAATTACGCAGATTACAGACGGAAATTGTTACTATATATGAGGAACGGGGTAATCCTATCAAAGATATCTCATTTGGATCACCACACAGACATCTTAATTGAAATTGTACGTTATGAAAGGACACAAATCGAATACTATACAGTAGCCGATTGGTTAAAGTAGCTAAGTCTCTAACTCAATATCATCTAAAGTCTTCGACACTGAAAACACGAATTATTTGTCAATTTACATTAAAATTGATGTTGTGATCTTACCGGGAAAAGACGGGCTTCTGATGTCCAATATTTAAGACAAAATAAACATTTTACCATTGGTACACAATTCGTGTACCATAATGCGTTTCAGCGCCATTTGTAACAAGTGACTCGAAGAATGAGGCTAGACATATTCCACAAGTCATGTCAAACGGTGACGCCATATTTTTATCTGGGGAACAAGCGTAATAAATACTATGCGTGTAGACTGGAACAACCAGACGCTAGACATTACCATTCGATTGAGACTTCTGGCGTATTTCGCCAAACATAACTAATTAGAAATTACAGTAAAACAGAAACGATTGAATGCAAATCAGTTTATATATATTCATAATACATTATTATCTGCGTTGTGACCCATTTGTGTCAATTACTAGGTCCCAAATATTAGCGATTTAGCTCCTTAAAATGACCGATTGCTGAGCGAAATGGAACCGACGTCACAGTAGCTCAGTGCGTAAGTCGCTGGCTCACTAACATGTGGATCGCGGTTTCGATCCCGGTGTTGGCCATGAAAGTACATATCAGTGGTGCAGGTCTGGTAACCTGACAAGGAACGGTGCCTAGTCCTTCGGGTTGGACGGAAAATCGAGTTATCGTGTACAAGTTGGCTTGAGCTTAAATTAAACCATCACTGTAAGAATTCAAAATTATCCAGTTTGTATTTCATTACATGTCTTCAATAGTTGGTGGAGAAAATTAAATTAGGACGTTTTTACCCCATTTCATTTCTCTATATCTCCAATCTTTGAATGTTTTAAATATTTTTCGCATATTATTCAGTTTATATTATTTTCACCCCCCCCCCCCCCAAAGAAAAAATAATTAAAAAAAAACCCCAACAAAAAACAAGAGGAAAAAAGGGCACACTAAAACCCTTGTTTTTCAACCTGCGATTCGTGAAAAATCTGGGAGGGGGAGAGGGATCCACAAAGTCAAAGTGATTCCTCGGGGATCCGCGGAGTAAAGAGAGATGCGTCGAAAGAACATAATCATGTAAAATTCAGTTTGAGTACCCGACGTTTTACCCACTGGGCCACAGCGATTCCCTTCAATCACGCAACATTAGTTTAAAAGTGAAATCTAGATATTTTCAGGGCGAAACCCCGTGACAAGCCTTTATCATATTCCGTCAACTGTCTGAAGCTCTGGGAAATTCTTTAAAAAAAAAAGAATTAAAAACTTTTTTTGTTTCCATATTCTGTGAAGTGTGCACGCGTGGATAATATCGTATATACGCTTGCCTAGGTTACAACAATACATGATCGTGGCGATTATAAAGTTACTCATACATTAAAAAAATGAAATTCCAGAAATAAGTTACGTAACCCCGTTAAATAAGTATGGCGACCATTTCCGAACGGTTCAATATTTTGATTTTAAATTTCAGACAACGTAAATATTCCGTTTCGTCACATGTTGGCATTTGGATTACGTTGTTTAAGCCAATTCCAGGTACTAGCATGCGGTTCAACGAGAGTTTGGAGCCACGGTGGCTTAGTGAGTGGGGCACTGGCTCGCTAACCAGGTGGTCCGGGGTTCGATTCCGCTGTTAGCGAGTAAAGTAATATAGGATTTTTTTTCAGCCTGGCTTCCCAATGTTCGTGAGGCAGGACGGAGGGTCTGGCGAGGAACCGAAATTAGTCGTTCATGTGGGGCAAAATTCCGAGGACCTGTGTATAAGCTGACGTGAACACAATTTTATTATCTTTTGAGAGTTGGAATTCGATGAAAAATAGGCGAAAACTCCGCTGTCCGGGTATCGTTATCCCGGTTCGTGCAGACGTGTCAGAGGGAGAGAGAAAGAGAATAGGTAATTTCGGGACTAACATATGGTTCAATTTTATTTCAACAATTCGCTTGCGCGTATGGGTCTTTAGCAGTGGGAGGAAACCGGAGGACCCGGAGCAAACCCACGAGGTTGAACAGGCGACCCTCCTCGTTGTCACGTACAAGCGGAGAATCGAAACCACGCCACTTGACTCAATAACAGACTTTATGATTCAACGCGCACGCGTTACCCAATTGACCACCAGACATGTAGGACGTTTAAATCCCATTTCATTTCACAGGCAGGTACTTACTAATGTAGATGAAATGAAACAGATTTTAACGTCTTAATTTTCTGCACCGACTGGGCTGATGAAGACGGATCTATTAATGTAACTTAATGATTTGCATGCTTGGAGTCAATCTAAAACAAGGAAATGAAAAGACGACTTTTGTCCCTAATGCTATATTCGCACTGTCGTGAAATGCGTTAGTTAGGATTGTCCTTATTGAGTGCACGATCTGGTACGTGCAGATACGTTCGGGTACGTTTCGAAACGGTCAACAACGACTGACCACAATATATGATAAGACCTGACAGGATCACCACGATTACTTCATGATTGAAACCATGATTTCAATCGTAGCACGAATCGTGATAGTGGGAACCTAGTCCAAAAGATCAGAAGTGTGGGAGTTTAAAACAATGTAATTAGTACCGGAAAGAAACTTTGTTGGAAGTCATCCCAACATCCTAAGTGCAGGATAACCGCATTTGGAGGAAAACCCATTAGACAAACCCGCAGATAAAATAAATTGAAATGAAGTGGGGTTTAATGTCCTACTGTTCTGCTCCGAATGGACTAATGAAGACGGGAGACAGAGAGAGAGAGAAATGGGGTTTATGGTCCAGTCGACACAAACTAGGTCATATCGGGACTAACATATGGTTTAATTTTATTTCAATAATTCGCTTGCGTAGGGGTCTTTAGCAGTGGGAGGAAACCGGAGGACCCGGAGAAAACCCACGAGGTTGGAAGGCGACCCTACTCCTTGTCACGTACAACCGGGGATTCGAAACCACACCAGTTGACTCAATGACAGACTTTATGGTACAGCGCGCACGTGCTAACCATTCAGCCATCCAACCCCCCAATGAAGACGGGAATACGCCATACCGTGTGCTATAAGGGAAATTTTGCCCTGATAGCGCCGTTACGGCCTACTCTTATATCGAATTCCCCCTATCAAGGGATCTTTTACGTGCACGCTAATGTATTCACTCAAACTGATTCACTCTGAACCGATAATTTAGCGATTGAATTTTAGGCCTAGCCTTGATCATCATTACTAAAGTCGGTACGATAAAAATCATCGTCTCGATTATCCATTTTTTGATTAAATCATCAATGAGCGTTGAGCAGCAGATCGGATTCTAATCCGGTAAATGTCACAGGCTATCGATGACATCGAGAGTTGATTATGGTCTGGATAAGTTAGTTAATATCTAATTAATAATTTAGATAACATTTCAGGCCTAAAGAAAGATCTTCTATTGGCAGATTTAGCTCTTGCATAATGTATGTTTAAGTAAATAAAAAGTAGAAGAAAAGAGAAGAAACCAATAAACTATCTTGGGAACGAAACTTCTCAGAACCAAACATTTTAAGTTAAAAAATGCGAATATACTTGGAACGTCTTGTGATTAAAACCTATCATATCGTTTAAAGATGTGAATATTACAGATAAGCAGAAAATAAATTGTCTTGCGAAACTTATAACAAATAAAAAGTAAATTTAAAAATGTGAATTCCCCGGGTGGAAAAGGTTTAAAGTCCACTCGACACAAACCAGATCATTTCGCGACTAACATATGTCTCAATTTTATTTCAATAATTCGCTTGCGCGTAGGGGTCTTTAGCTGTGGGAGGAAACGGCGGACCCGGACAAAACCTACGAGGTTGAACAGGCGACTCGACTCCTTGTCACGTACAAGCGAGGAATCAAAACCTCACCAGTTGACTCAATGACAAACCGTACAATCTAAACCATTCGCCCCCTCTTCCACAAAAAGAGAAGAAAATGTTTTTGAACGAAACTTTTCATAAGCTATATTTAAAGATATGAATATCCTAAGTCAATAAAAAGTTAAAAAGAAAAATACTCGTCACTACCGGCCGATAAAATCTATTACAAATATAAAACCTCCTACCTGTGATTTGGCTGCCAATTCATATTCATTTCTGCTTCTTTCTGATGATGGTGAAGTTAAAGCCACTTGTAAAACTAGAGCCAAAACAAACAGAAGAACCAATTTAACTGCCGAACTCATATTTCAGGTTAATTAAATAATTTGGTGAAAGTAGTCGGAAGGCTTTGTTGTTTGTACTTTTTGTAATGACGAGGTCTAACTGATTAATCTGAAAGCAGTGTGTGTTGGGAATATTCAAGATAGTGTTGGCTAACCTCTCGTCATTCCTATATACTCCAATCAGAGGTACACCAATCGAACGTAGCCAATATGCAAATTAAGCCCGCTATGAATGGCATCCAATCGTTTGTGAGCGTCTCTAGGCAACAATACATCATCAAAGTTGGCCAATTAAATCGACACTATTCTTAACCTTTCTTTTATATTGCTTGTATTCAATCAAGGATAGTTTTTACTTAAGAGGCCTAAGGGCCTTCATTGCTCAACGGTTTAAAGTATAAGCACAGTTAAGATTTTCGTTAGAGAGATGGGGTTTAACGTCCACTCGACATAAACGAGGTCATTTCGGGACTAACATATGGTTCAATTTTATTTCAATAATTCGCTTGCACGTATGGGTCTTTAGCAGTGAAAGGAAAAAAAACAAACACGAGGTTGGACAGGCGGCTCTACTTCTTGTCACATACAACCGGGGAATCGAAGCCACGCCAGTTGACTCAATGACAGACCTTATGATACAACGTGAACGTGCGAACCATTCGCCCCCCCCCCCCCTGTCGGTGGTACACAGATCGGAGACTTCGTGTCACCTTGAGTAAGGCGCTAGCGCATTAATAAGGCCTTCCATTGTACATAGTGGTCGAGAACGTTGCTCACGATTTTATAGCGTGGTTTTCCCCTGGTCAGTCGTGTAGGACGGAGGACCTGACAAGGACGAAAACCCGAGACCACATGTACTTGTTGCAGTGGACGCAAAAGAACCCTTAGCAGTTGGAATTAGATGTGGAAAAAACGGAAAAGCCGCCATAGGGGCAAAATTGCCCTAATAGCACACTGCATGGCGTATGCACATCTTCATTAGCCCAGTTGGTGCAGAAAAGTAGGACGTTAAACCCATTTCATTTTGTTTCATATAAGCAATATTATGACGTTTTAATGGTAGATAGGATAAGGAGTCCATGAAGTCATCTGTAGTGCGTAAACTCAGAACACTGGATCACAACAAAATGTCCCGAGTTTGAATCAAGACGTACATTTAAAAGATCCCACAGCAGTTAAAATTACAAAAAAAAATGTAGGCTGAAACACGGCGACGAGGATAGGATTCTCCCCGCCTCGCGCTTTGTACAAGTAACCACAAAAATAGAAATTGACATATGTTAGTCTCAAAATGAACTAAGCAAAGTCCTAATCCCCATTTCATTCGAAACAAAAATAAAATGAAACGAAATGGGTTTAACATCCTACTGTTTTGCTCCGAACCATGGGCTAATGAAGACTGGCATACACCATGCAGTGGGCTATGAGGGAAATTTTGCCCGGACAGCGGAGTTATGGCCTACTTTTACATCGAATTCTATCTGCCAAGAGATCTTTTACCTTCACGCCAATGTGTACACGGGACCTCGGCTCTTTGTCCCATCCGAACTACTAGAGAGTTGTCCTATTCAGGCCCTCCGTCCTGCACCACTGACAATGGTAAACCACGACGGAAATCTCGAAGAACTTGCTCGGCCAACACCGGGAGCGAAACCGACAAAAATGCAAATAGATTTACGACCTACATAATTGAATACAAAAGCCCTTTTTGTGCGGATTGTCCCGAAGACTGTAAAAAGAAGAAGAAATTGTCGTATGTTAATGTTCGCCTCAAACTGAATTAAGTAAAGTCTTAATCCCTATTTCATTCACAAGTAGAAACCAATTTGCGGCGGACATAATGTTTAAAAAAAATAAATAAATAAATAAAATATCAGTCTCATTTCAAAAACAGCGGACAAAGGTGACGACAAAAGTCTTTTTTGTGCGGTTGGCCCTGAAGACTAAAAAACCCAAAAACAAAAAATCCCATTTTACTTTTCACTCATTCTTTAAATTCGATTTACTCGAGTGTGTGAAATATGTGAAATTGGCGGGTAACTTCAGCAGTTAATTGTGTGATTTTATAGTCTTCCTTTACTTGACTCTCTTCTAAAAGCAATTCATTCATTAAGACGGGAAACTGTTTTTCTATATAGCACGTGCTTGTACGGTACAGTTAGGTGGCAATAAACGAAGTTAATTTCAGATTCAGCTCATGATTTACCGTTTATTGCGAACTTTATCTTCGTCGCGGAGGAACATTAAACGAAAACAAGTGCCAATTTGCAGTGTTTGTCACCAGGCGGTGTATTAGGTTGACAGATTTCTAATTTGAAGAGAAATTAAAATGGAGAATTTTATAGGGAAATAAATTTTTTTATAGACATTATTTTGCTTTTACAATATCGCTTTTATTAGTTTTTGGAACACAAAATGCATTTGATATAATAACATCGCACTTGTTCGTCCGCCCGCTGTTTGTACGCGTGCACGTTGCATCATAAGGTCTGTTATTGAGTCAACTGGCATGGTTTCGATTCACCGGTTGTACGTGACAAGGAATAGGGTGGTATGTCCAACCTCGTGGGTTTTTTCCAGGTTCTCCGGTTTCCTCCCACTGCTAAAGACCCCTACGCGCAAGCGAATTATTGAAATAAAACTGTACCATATGTTAAGTCCCCCTCTCTCTCTCCCTCTCCCTCTCCCCCTCTCTCTCTCTCTCTCTTACAAAGATATGTGGAATTGAAATTTCATCCATCTAGGCATCTTTGAAATTAGTAAACGCAATAAGCCCACCGCCATTTTCTGGTCCGCGAATGTGTTTTGGTAAGCCTTTTAAAGTCTGATTTAATCCAAGCCGGGACATTATCTAGCGTTAGTATTTTGTTTTTAATCAATGTGAGTACATATAAGAGTGTTTTAAAGGCTCAATACCACTCTTGTTGTAACTAAATAATATGTCCCAATCTTTATTCTGGTCAACAAATTGCACAATTTTACAATATTCCAATTAATTGATGATACAAATTTCATTTTAACACACCTAATTTAAAAAATTGGAAAAATTCAACTAAATGATTTGAAAAGCCTGACGTAAAGCTTTTCAAATGTGATTTGGATGTAAAAATATTTTTGAACCCTTTCGACAAGTAAAATAGGATTTAATGGATAATTTACACAACAGGTAAGCCACTAACACATCTAGTACTTAGAATAAGGCTATTTTTATTTTCTGGAGCTGTCAAGCCAGCGAGAGTGTTATTGTCCCTTTAAGCTGTGAGAAATTTGATATTTAGCGAAAAATGCAAATGGCGCATTGCTACTTGAAGACAGAGTTCACAATGAGCCAGGAGCCATTAAGAGTTCTGGGTTCGTTTCCGGTGTTGGCCGAGAATGTAGCTTCGGTTTTTTTTATTCTGGTTTCAACTTGTCAGGGATGCAGGAAAAAGGACCTGGTAAGAAATAGCGTCTAGCCGTTCGGATTGGACAAAAATCTGAGGCCCCGTGTAGTGGATGGTGCAGAATAGTAGGACGTTAAACCCCATTTCATTTACTTTCTCATTGACCCTTTTAATAACTAATACGTTAAACCACATTTCATTTACTTTCTCGTTGACCCTTTTTAATAAGTCGGACGTTAAACCTCATTTCATTTCATTATTGTTATAATAATGGAACTGTTCATTAGGTCAGAGGTAAACTTGATTTTGTGGATCAGAAACCACGCAGATATCACACTTCAATAAGTCTTGAGTGTTATATATTATGGGAGAAAGTATTAAAAACTTAGTGGAACTATTGTGGATGTCGCCGTTTACATGTTGACATCTGAATCGTTAGAATAATTTAAATCGCTGAATTATCATTGTTTTGTAAGCTTGTGAATTAGGTGAAAGGAAATGGGGTTAAACGTCCTACTGTTCCGCTCCGACTGGGCTAATGAATACGGGCATAGGCCATACAATTGTACACGGGACTATGTTTTTTTGTCCCATCCGAACGACTATACGTTGTCTCTTGGCAGGCCCTCCGTCCTGCACCACTGACGAAGGGGAATCAGCTTGTGTATAAGGTAATGTGTGGAATGTGTTCACTTGGAAGAATTCCATTTAGCACCAGGTGGTAAGAACCAAATATTGGTATTTTAACTTATTGTGTGTAATACAATTCCTGACAACTGTCGATAGGGGGTTATTAAGTTTTAATTAAGATAAATGATGAACAAAATGGAGACTGAACGTACAAAATAACACATAAAACCAAATATCACTCGTCGCTCAGGAGAATAAAAAAAAACACATTTTATGACCCACACCCCTAGAAAATGCTTGATCTACAAAATGGAAGACCGGAAGCTAACACAGGATCTCCTGGTGAATGAGGGTCGCGTCTATATACAAAAGTCACCTGCATATTTCCTCAAGGCCACAAGGTGTAAACAGGGTTAGTGCACGTGATTGTTGCTGAGGATTGTGGGTTGCTGTTAGGGTAAGGCTTAGGGCTAGGTCTTGGGTTAGAGTTAGGGTTTACATCTCGTGATCTTGAGGAAATCTGCAGGTAGCCTTGGTAAATAGATCTTACCGTGAATGGGCCTGCACCTCAGTATCTGAGCCACCATGACTCCCATATAATATCGATCCAGTTCAATCAGTATTGATGCTGTTATCTTACCTATAACATATTGGCCACTGGCATTCAAAATTTAACACATAGTGAATATCTTAAAACACGTTCCCGATGTCGGGTTCATCTATTGTGTCGAGCGCCATTTCTAATGTGAATGTCGGGTTCCCATTTGTTATAAAAAGACTTGAACAAATCATAACATTTTAAACAAGTCAGTGCGCAATTATTTCGTTTCGTTTTTTATGGTTCAAAATTCCGTTTTACTTGTCTTTACTACACTAGGATCTGTTGTTATATAACCCGCGTTCTGGATGATGTGAGGGATTAGCCAATGAAACGGTCTGTTGCGACAAGGTTTTGGCGTGAGGTGCACGGAATTGTTCTGACGCGACCTTCCACTACAACCGGACAGATCTTCATGTAGTTTAAAGAAAAAGTATAAAGAAAATGGAAACGAAATAAAGATCTATATTTTAATCTGATTGCAAAACATTGAATGTATATATCAGTTTATATACATTCGCATTCGCATTACATTAATATGTGATTTTAAACCATTTCCATCCATTTTAAGATTCAGCAATATAAATAC